TGTAGGAAGAGGGAGGACCAAGAAAGATCCTACCATAACACTGGGAAGGAGGGGGGGCGAAACAAGGTGCTGGTCTGGGCCAGGACAAAAAGAATTTGGCAATATATTGATTTATGTCTTTATTGAATGAAAGATTTTCCAAGTAGGTAAAGGGAGCTCAAATTTTGTGAGTGAATAGATGCTTTGAATGACTTCATTGATTACTAAAGTTTCTAAATTTTTTTGTAACTTAATGCTTTGAATGACTTCATTGATCATATCCAAAGTCCAAACATCAATTATATCGTACAATCTATCAGCTCCCATCCTCCTTTGAAATGTCCCTTCATCAATCTTCAAAAATATCATTCAATAAAAACTGAAACCAGACTTGTGGGTTTCCTAAATGCCTGTACTCTCCTTTGATGAGATGCCCCCACCAGTTAGTACACATCCCCGCCGCATAGCTTCCCAATAAGTGAAAGGAAAATATATAGTCATTTTGGCTTTATCCTAGTACACCATATCATCTCCCACAGGCTAAAAACTATTTCTTATACATATAATGAGTTTCTTCAAAACAACAAAAATTACAAAAGAGTACAATATGGCTGCCTTAGTATCTATAAAGAAGGTCAGCATAATCTAAAAAAAAATTCACCCCATCAGGCCTACTGTCATACCCATTTCCTTAGAGTAAAGCATGCAAGTCTAAGTGACATGCGTGGTTCCCCTAAGTGATTAAACAAAGGACCCCAAGTCCTGAGTGGATTTGTGCTACTGTGGCAGTGTTAACTCTATCTCCTTGCAAGCCAGTTCTTTAGATTGACAAACTTTTGTGAGGGAGGTGAAGCCCCTTCAATCTTGACTGAGCGAGAGATGTAGATGGTGCGGCATTGGTGCAAGATGCATGCACCTTTTGGCTAGAGGCTAAAGACCCTCGGTGCAAAACCTTGGGCAAGATGATATGGACGAATGGCTAAAGGCTAACTCAGGCAGTGGCTCGGTTGGCTCGACCATGGACAACTTGACCCTGATAGGACATGGGTGTGGACCATGTGCAAGAGGTGCGTTGACCATACACCTTGTTGGGCAGCTTGATTGTAACAGCCATGAGCCATGCGAAAGAGGGAGTGCACATGAAGAGGGCAAGTGGACCTTAATAGTTGTTATAGCTTACAATGCCGGTCTAAATTGGCTTGAATGGTTATTTATAACTTGTGGAGTGGATTGACAAGGACTTGTAACTCCCGTCATAAGCGATGTGGGCAAGCATTAGTGTAGGGAGTTGGATAGATAATTGTCACACAATGGGCGGTGGGCATTGAATGTCGTATAGTCCTTAATGGCCATTGTAATAGTGGGTGATTGTGTGTAGGCTATAAAAACATATTTTCCAGACCCATGATCAGAGAAGATCTGTGGCTATATATAGTGCAAGTGTATAGCGAAATAAGACTGGGCTGCAGCTCTTGTCGATTGCTTGTTCGTGTGACCGTTGTGCTTGTTTGCTATTTCCTCTTGTGTGGCTTGGGGAAGGTTGTCCTTTACTTAGTCAAGGTAGGACTTGGGCTTAACGTTACATGGGTTATCTATTGAGAAACTTGCCTCCATTTCAGTTAGTATGAAAGCCAGGTTGGTCAATGCGTGTGGCCATGACTGGTGGTGTTACTGAAATCCGGGGCCATGTCAACCACCTTAAGGAGAAGTTGGAGCAAATCACGATGGACACTGGGTTGGGGAAGAACTTTACCACCTTGGAATGCCTGGAGCGGTGCTTTGGAGGCCCTAGTGGAGGACCATTGTAGCGCCTGCGATACTCGTATGGGAGGATTCATGGATGATCTTAAGGCCTTAAAAGAATCCTTGAAGGCTAGCCTCGTGAGCCTGCAAGAAGATATGCCACTTGTCAAAAAGGCCTTGTGTGGCATCACAAGCAAGCTAGACTCTCAAAGTGTGAGGGCAATAGAGTCAAGGCTCTTTGGACTCTAAAGTGTTAAATAACTTCTTATGGGATATGGAACAATACTTTAAGAATGCTCATGCCCGTGAGGAGGATTATGCTGGCATTTGCATCATGCACCTCGTCGGATATGTATAGATCTGGTGGAGGATGCTAGTCGAGAACACTTCAAGGCCCAAGTTGAGCACTTGGGAAGCCTTAAAAGAAGAGTTGAAACAATGCGACCTAGGTGGCTTGAGAAGCTTTGAAAAAACTTCAATAAACAAGGTCGGTGAGAGACCATTTGAAAAGGTTTGCATCCCTCTAGCAATATGACCATATCTGAGAAGGACAAATTCTTTAACTTTGTTGCTGGGTTGCAAGGTTGTGCCCAGGCCAACTAAAAAGGCAAGATGTGGAGACTTGTCTACGGCGATGGCGCTAGCTAGGGGCCTAGGATATTATGATATTCGTGGTGTGGTGGAATCAAACTGCAAGGAGGGCCATCGGGGGCGAATGGTGAGAGACTGGTGTACCACAATGGCACCAGACCTGGGAATGGGGCGACCAAGGATAGAGAGGCAACTCGGAAGGCCTTTTCAAGTTGTTTCATTTGCAAAAGTGACCACCGAGAGGGACTATCCACAAAAAGTTAGCCACTCGAAACAGTTTGACTAATAGGGGAGGATGAGGAGGCCTCAACGCAAGCCTGCTCACTACGCTTGTTGAATGCCATGCAACTGGTTGAGTGCAACAGCCTGGAGAGGAGTACATGCCAAGTGTCACTGAAGCGACTGACTCTGGGAAGTCAATTGATGACTCAAACAGTCATAATATGCATATTATTGGTGGTGAAGGAGGGCCAATGGTAAGAGTCATTTAGCTCCAAGATGGCTCAGACATCTTCTACCAGTGGAGATGCACTACAATGGGTCATCCCCTTAGCCCTTGTGGGGTGAACTAGTCAAGAAGAGGTGATTTGGCAACCTACATGATTATCGTATGTATTACTTGACCTTTGCCAAGGCTAATGCGAGGCCTTCCTCTTGAGGGTTGCATGAGGCGGCATGGGTCGTGGTTGCAGCATTGGACTTGACCACGCACCCAGACACATGGTGGTAGCTCAAGGACCTAAAAATGCGTGCATGTGCAAAGACTTGGTGGCAATAGTGGACCTTGCCAAAGGCATAAGTAGAAATTTGGTGGTAGCATCAGACTTGACCAAGGGAATGAGTAGAGACTTGGTGCATCATCGTAACTAACCAAGTGCAAGGAGGACATACCATGTCAAGCACGTATGAACGTTGGGTCAAAAACGGGGGTTTATGGGGGACCCGGTGACGGACAAACGTTCAAGGAGGACGTTAGAGTTGCGGTAGGGGATGCCTTTCAGATTCCTTTCCTTAACATTATGCGTGCAAGCTACGTGGTGTTGTGGTTCCCCTTCATAATGGAATGAATTGCAAAGGATCCGCAAGTAGTAAGTGAACTTGTGCCACTTTAACAGAGTTAGTTTCTAGGAAGCCAATTCTTTAGACTAATAAACCCATATGAGGTAGGCGAAGCCCCCTCAAGCGAGAAGTTAAAATGATATGGCATTAGTCAATGATTCACGCACATGGGGGCTAGCGGCTAAAGATCTTTGGTGCAAGTCCTTGGGCAAAATGGCATAGATGGATGGCAACGGCTAACCTAGGAAGTGGCTTGGTTGGCTCGACCATGAATAACTTGACATGACGAGACATGGATGTAAACCATGTGCAAGAGGTGGGCTGGCCATACACCTGGCTGGGCAGGTGAGTAAGCCATAATGGTCATGATTGGGGTTGAGTTGTGTAACTTCCCTACAAATGGGTTGGTCTAACGGCTAGGAGCACATGTAGTAGGAGAGTGGTCCTTAATAGTTTTTGTAACTAAGCATGCAGGTTTGAAATGGCCTGCATGGGTATTTTTGACCCGTGGCGCAGGTTTATCGAGACTTGTAGCCCCCTTAATGAGCCATGTGGGCATGTATTGAAGGCATGGGGATTGTGCGAATGTCAAACCATGGGCAGTGGGTAATGAATGTGGTGCAAGCTTTAATGCCCCATAGTGCGTTGGTGTGGAGGCTTGTTCAGACACTTAAGTACACCAAGTGTATAGTAAAATAAGATTGAGCTAGGACACATGTCTATTGCTTGTGCATGTGGCGGTTGCACTCGTATTCTCTTTCCTCTTGTATAGCTTGTGAAAGATCTGCCTAGCCTTCGGTAGGAGTTTGGCTTAGTGCCACATGGCTTGTCTTGTCTATTGAGAAATTTAACCCGTGTTATACTATCCCATTATAAATAAAGAATCCATACAAATTGTGTGGATTACTAATTATACAAATTTTCCACTCATAAGGATCCATACAATACTAATTGTAGGAGTGTGCTAAGTTTATCCAAATGGTTTAATACTGCATTTAGGGGTCAACGAGGACAAAGAAAGAAACAAGAATTTGGTGAACACATATCATCATCCTTAGCGGAGATCCCGCAGTGCAAGCGTGCATCTCAGTATTGAACAATTTTGGAAAACTTGGCCCGAGTTATAGGTGCCGGAGCCAAATACATGGAACGGCCAGGTCTGGTTCCCAATATTTAATCATTTTTTGTTTGGATTCAGCGGAACCTCTGACAAACCAACATTCTATTTCATATAAGCTTCAAATGCGAGAAACCATGTTTACATCGTTTAAAGTAGAGAATAAAAAAAGAAAAGGAACATAAGAAATGGGCTACATACTTTAGAGGCAGCATCCACTACCAGCATCTTAGGTTTTCTTAAAATGAGAATGAAAAGGATAAGAAGAAGTCAAAAGAAGAGATATAATGGGGGTTTCCTATCACTTCACAAACTATAATTATAATTATTAGCACATAATGTGTATTTAATAGTAGAGTATGAGTAGAGGAGAATCATTCCTAGTAAGGTTGGGTATGCAAATGCAACTTGGGTATTTATCCATGGCCATGCTATTGGTTGTGTGAGGGAGAAGGAAAGTTGAAGGCAGCAACAAAAAGAGGTAAAGGAGAAGCAAAGCAGAAGAACTAACCTGGAGGGGAGGGGAGGGGAGGGGAGGGGAGGGGAAGAGAAAGAGGACCGGGGGTGTTAGGGTTTGGGAAGAGGGCCGTTGGATGTCCTCCTCCTCATGTTTTGTCGCTCCTCTTCTTGGAGACGGTGGACATAGAAAATGCCAAAACCAACCCCCGTAACAACACTCATCAGAACCCCCAAAGCCACCATCTGCTGCATCTTACCCCTCGCCATTAGATTTCATCGTCTAATCGGCCGGCCTACGGTTAGGTTACTCATGGGAGGGGAGGCGAGGCGAGGCGAGGCTTCAGCGGACGCAATGCTTCCTTTCAGACCCCGGTACTAGAGCGTCAGATATTGCATACGAGGTTTCGTGCGGTTTACATGCGATTTCCATTCTTCAAATTTGTTATAAAATTAAATTTTAGAAAACATATATCACGAGGTCGAGATCTCCAACATCGAAATACCCTCTTCTGTGGATTTTTGAAGTGCACCTTATTTCAACATGATAAGATTAAATCTTGTATAAGCTTTTTCATGGTCATATATCACGCGGTTGAGATCTCCAACATCAAAATACCCTCTTCTGTCGATTTTTGAAGTGCACCTTATTTCAACATGATAAGATTGAATCTTGTATAAGCTTTTTCATGGTCATATATCACGAGGTTGAGATCTCCAACATCGAAATACCCTCTTCTATGGATTTTTGAAGTGCACCTTATTTCAACAGGATAACATTGAATCTTGTATAAGCTTTTTCGAGGTCGATCACCATGATCAAGGGTCTATGGACTCTCTGCCCAAAAAGAAAGTAGCGATTACCAACCCTTTTGTTCCATAGTATTTTGGAAAGTGTAAAGTCTTAGAAATGCTCACATGATGCGTCCCTTGCTTGAGCACGTGTGCACGTCAGGCTCATGGCACCTAATCCTTTTGCAATGGGCAAATTATAGTAGCATCTAAAAAATGTGCCGCTCTTGTGAACTTGCACAAGTTCTGGTTGGAATGGTACACTTCAATGAATTGTGCCCCATTGAATGGATCCAGTGGATGGTATGTTTCGGAGTATTGTGCCCCCTCTTAACGACGCACTATGCATTTCTCGTGCTTACATGAGGTGCCCCTCGCCTTAGCATGCATGCGAGTCCGACTCATGGGTCATCTTTTGCCGTAATAGACAAACCATGCGTAGATTATAGTAGCATCCTCGTAATGTACCCCTCTTGAAAGTCTTGAAAATTGATGATTTAGATAATACATTACAAGATTCACTATTTCCAAGATTTAGACATCAAGATTATCGAATTGAGGGTTTTTCATCATCGAAACACCCTCTTCACCATAGTTTGATATGCAATTTTGAGAAATGGTGGGGAATGCATCAACATTTTGTTAAAAGTCCATCTGATTTGGTCGTTGATAAGAGGGCCAATCAGTTCCATGCGAAATTGATGCCCATCTCTAGCAGTTTGTAATAGTCTACCAAAAAAAGATCAAATTTTGAGGGTTAGTGGGGTAATATTTCTTGGATATACAGTTAAAATTTCTTAGAATTTTGATGGTAGAAAAGTTTATATAAAGGTGAGTCCCTAATCAATTAAATTAAGTCGCATTACATAAATAAACTAGTAGAAGTTGTTTCGACGCCCAAAAATCCTCAAATCAATCATCTCGACCTTAAGATGTATGGACATGCGAAAAAATAGATTCGAAGTCTTAGAAATAGCGTATCTTGTAATGCACTTTTTGGACCATTAATTTTTAGAATTTTCAAATGCTCATAGATCTGTTCGATCTACATTATTTTTGAAACTTTAAATTTTATAATTAAAAATGAAAATAAATTTTCAAACCATTACAAAAATTTCTACTACTAAAACAACATTTTTCGACGCTATTTGAAAGTGCGCTTTACTTTGATTTTTTAGAACCTCAACCTTATACAAACCGCACCCTTTGATGATTATTGAGTTGGTCACATAAATCAACTTCGAGCCTCTGCCCCAGAACTCATGCATCAAAAACCTACGTGATATTGTAGACCGCGGCCAACTCACAGGACCACCCTAATAGTATTTTATGAATATGAAATTTGTAATTTCATGAGATATCTCAAAAGCCCACCGTTAATATTTTGTTCAATTTGGATGCCACAAAGGGTTGGCTAAACTAAACTCAGCCCTCTATATGTCTCGTGCATCAACTGCAGTTTGCAAAATTGCCTAGACTACAGACAATAAAAAGAGGCTTTAAGGGACTTGAGTTTCATATGAAATTTGGTGGTTTAATAGGGTGTCCAGTGTTAAAAAAATCGACTCAGCCAAGGTACTCAGGCCTGGGCCGAGGCGATTTATTCGGGTCAGTCCGAGTAATTCGTCCAAGTCCAGCTCCTTGTTAAAAAAAAATGAAGATAAAATAATGATTATATATCATAAGCGCCATTTTTAATTACACACATGTTACAATGGCACGCTGGTTAGGTCATGAGTTCAAGTCTTGCTGCGGGGGTTATAATTTATTTGGTAATGCTAACCAGAACAACCTTATAACACATTTGAATTAAGTTTGAGTTGTTAAGATAAGTGAACTAAAAATAATGTTGTTCACCCAACTCGCCCAAAACTCACCTCGTGCATAAGGAGAGGTCGAGTTTTAAAACGTTGGGGGTGTCTAAGCTCTAAAACAACTCAGTCTGAATTCCATTTGATTTGGATACTATAAGGGGTTCAACCATATTGAACTTTATTCTTTGTTAATATGGTCATACTATAGCCTGCGCTCTGCATTGAGCTGCCTGACTGAAGCAGGAATCGGGATTCCCAACCTAAATTTGATGTTGGTTGATATATATATCACCCTTTTTGTTTTGGCAAAAGATCATTTACAGGTGGTCTTATTACAACAACATATACTTCAAAATAAAATCAACATGACAATTAAAACCAAGATTTTAAAACTTGATGCCATTGAAATAACTATGCACTATGCTTGAGAATAAAAAATAAGATTGCAAGAAATAAAAGAGAAAAATGTCGAAGATTACCTCAACCGTGCTTATTACACTCTACACTGAGTCGCCATCATCCGATGGTGCGAGATCAATGACCAACATTCAATCTCAAACCGGGAAAGCAAGTTTAGGCCAAGCCATACCAATGGAACATGAACCCCTTTGATCACAAACTCGAACCCTAAGTGAATTTCCTTAGCAACTTAGTTTGAGAGAGATTGATTCTCTTTTGCGATACCCTAAAACCTTAAGCCATAAATCGATAGTTGAGAGATGAGAGAGAAAAAAACTCCATAGCCTAAACCCTTAAGTTCTTCCACAATGTGGGAGAGAGAGAAACTTTTCTTAAGAGAGAGAAAGATAAATTCTAAGTGGGATATGAGAGAGAAATGTGGAATTAGGTACAAGAGATCAGGTGTAGAAATTTTTGGATAGAGACAATCATTTTTTATAGGCTTTGAATAAGATTAGGGTTTCTTAGCGTTTTCCTTGGCTTGCCTCTTCTTGTGAGATTGAATATGAACCATTGATCTTGGGGTGACTTGTGGGATGAGAGATCTGAGTCATCCATTCCATAGATGGGTCATCAACATTATAGAATGTGTATAAACCCTTATCCCCCTTTCTTAAACTATTTTCCTATCAATAGAAAATAAATTAAATTAATGTTAATTATGCATTCCATAAAATAGCACATCTCTACACATATTTTTCATAAAATCTATCAAAGATATATCAAGTCAATATCTACTTTCATATTAAGTCGATAAATTGTCAACACATTACTCAACCCATAATTTGACCACATGTCACAATTTAAAGTTACCAAAACATAATGTTACATTGACCACAAAACAAAACTTTCCAACAAATAGAAAGTAGTAAGACATGGGGCGTGCCACCCATGGGAGGCACATGTGGACCGCACTTTCTAGAAACATGGTGTGCCCATGTGCACAACAGGCCCCACGATTATTTTTTTATGTATTTAAAATTAACAAAATAATTTTTAGTGAATATTAAAATATTGTAAAATCAATATCTTTAATTCTATAAATCCAAAAATTATAAATAAAATATCCAAAGGTTTATAAAAATTCAAATAATATTTCTAAAATAATCATTATCATAAAAAAAACACAATTAGATTAATTTGATGGGAAATTGATCCATGTGGTTTAGCCATTGAATCAACAATCCTGGGGCACTCCACCTTTAACTGTAGACTACGGACCACACTTGCTTTATCAGATCGACCCAGTGTTTTCCATGACCAACAGTCCACGCAGAGGCTCATTAGTGGATCACCGAAGTCTTACTGATGAGCCAATGGGTCGCAATCTCAGTTGGATTACATGTTCTCCCCTAGAGACGAGTCTAGGTCGCCAAGATCTGATGCGACCACAACTATATGGTGCATAGGGGGATCTCTCGCACATGCATACGCTTCACCCTAAAAGGTGGATTTTTGGCTTTCTCGAATGATCTATCGATATGCATGCCGTGTGATGGCATATGGATGAGGTTTTGGCCCCCCATTTTTGTAGGCCACCATCACACACAAGAGTAACACAGTCATTCGGCTTACCCATCCGAGCATGTTCTCCCACCTCATCAAGGGCTAACACATGAACCCTCCTCGATTTGTTATTCATGCCCAGGTAACATAGGTTTTTTCCAACCAACTGACTTAGATCGTCAAGCACAGTCTGGTTTCTGTAAACATTGTTTGTATGGTATGGTCCACTAGGGACCACACTGCCACTGAGTTCATGCTCCACTATATCATTCATTTTACAAGGACTAATAAAGCCTTTAAAAGCGACATAAACCCAACAGATTCAAGATTGTTGAGAGTCCTTAGTGGTTAAGGATGCTCCTTTCTTGACGAGTTTTGTACGGTCTAAAGTCCTAAATTAGTAATTATTAAGGTTAAACCCAAAAAAGTTAAAGGTTAACCTATCCTCATTACTTTGGAGATCTAAATCTCTGGATAAATGATGATAACATATGAAACTCAAGATTTGTCATCAAAATTGAGGGTTATATGCTGTATGCAGTAGTGGCTGCAGGGGTGATTTCAACTCCATGAATCTTTTGATTCACAACAGCTTTTCTCATGAAATTTATGTGATTTTGATTCTCCAGATACCAAATCAACATTGAGAGGTATCAAGATATTATAACGCATGATTTAGAAGGAATTTAGCTTCAAAAATGTGGGATTGTTGTGCTGTGCTGCGTGGTCATGGCGAGCATGGCAGGTGAAGCCAGAGACTCTTTGATATATAACACTATGGACCGTGGTTTTGGATGAGGATAAACATCCAGAATCGATTAGGAAATTATCTGATTGTAGAACTCCCAAAGTCTATATAAAGGGGTGTTCTATCTCGAAACTGAAGCTTTCATTCTGTTATGTGCTTCAATGCCTGGGTAAGAGACCTCTAGCAAAAACCAATGCCTTCATAGGAAACCAACCATCACGCAGCTCCGGTTGGGTACTGTGTCACGCACCCTGTCATGAAGATATCTGTGATCCCGACCTTTATTGAATTGAGAAGCAAGGAATTGAATGATACATCCCTGACTGCCTGATCTTAAATTTAGAGGCAATTAGTAATTGTGAACTCCTTGTATTTAAAAGTTCAGAAAGTGGTTTTTCAACAAAAGCTCACAATCTTTTATTAAGGCATGAAAGATTAAGTTCTTAAGAGGTAGGAACTTAATATGTCGGAACGCTTTTGTTGATCACTATTCGCTATGTATAATATAAATACATAATATTAATAGGGATTGTATATAATGAGACAATTTACCTTTGATACAAAGAAGTCACAATTACTTACAACCATCTGATGTAAAATTTAATAGCTTGAATGTATCACAAAGTTCAATTTTTTTTTTTTTGAAGTGTGAGTTTGGTCAATAAAATAATCGCAACTACCCAATTTCACATCCAATGGTCAATATTAATGTGACCACCTTATACCAAAGATAAATGTTCTCATTCAATACTTTCCCATATTAATATTATTAATATGATATAATGTAAAATTATTACTATAACATAATATTATATAACATAATATTATCTAACATAATATTATAAAATATAATATTTTATAATATAATATCATATATTTATTTTATTAATGTAATTTATATTTTATAGTATATATTGATTATGTGTTACATATAATATAAATTATTAATATTTAATATATATTATTAATATAGTATATTATATATATATATATATCCTCGACTGCCTGATTTTAAATTTAGAGGCAATTAGTAATTGTGAACTCCTTGTTCCAAAGACAAATAGATTTATTCTATACTCTTCCTTATTTATATTGGTATATTTCTACTCCGATGAATTATTTGTTAACTGGTTGTCGAACATTTTTATTCCATTCACATATTTTAGGGTTTGTGTTATATTTTGTTTGGCTCTCATAGTTCTGCTTTGAAGAGCACAAGTTTTTAGAAAGAGATGAACATCAGAACCAGGGATGAAAGAGATTTAAATTTTAAAGGATAATGTAAGGGGAGAGCAGGTAGGGTATGCTATGGCTTTTAGCCTTTTCCTAGGGTTAACTTCAGGGAAACTTATGGAATTTCCCCAACGGGAACAATCTCCCCAAATTTTTGTCTCATCATATCCATTCAAATTCCCATCTCTCTCTTTCTAACTTATTGGTAACTCTCTCTTTTTCTTTCTTGAAAGAGAACTCTGATTCATCCATTTCCTAGTGAGAGAAATCACAAGATTTTCTTTTTGAGAATTATTTACTGGTGCAGTTATACAGAGAGAGAGATGGGTATTTCAATGTATATGACGAGAGATAATATTAGGAAATTATTTACTGGCGCAGTTATACAGAGAGAGAGAGAGATGGGTATTTCAATGTATATGACGAGAGATAATATTAGGAAATTATTTACTGGCGCAGTTATAGAGAGAGGGAGAGAGATGGGTATTTCAATGTATATGACGAGAGATAATATTAGGAAAAGCAAACTAGGGATATGAATAAGTTAAAAAAAAGGGGGGGAAAAGAGATAGGAATTTGGGTAAGGAAGGTTAATGGAAACAAAATGCTAATAAGGTAGGAAAGTGACTTACTCTTTCTTTTTAAGAAGATAATATAATATAAAAAAGTGTATATTGCATATAACAAGATAGAAAAATATATGTTGTGTCATTGTTTTATCATTATATATACAATGAAAAAACACCACAAGAATGGGGTGGGGCACAATTATTTTCTCAAAAAATTCTTCTCTCTTTAAAATTTCTATAAAGGTTAGAGAGAAAAAGAAAAAGAGATATTTAAGGGCATTTAATAAGGACAATTCGGTCACAGATTAACCTAAAATATACTCATGGGGTTAATGAGAAAAAACAAAATAAAATAAAATAAAATCGGGTTATAGAGGAGAAAGACTTTATGGGGAGATTGTTCCATTAAAAGGGCAGGGATTCCATAATTTTGCTTTGATTTTAACTCAAAGCCGGCCCGGGCCTGCAAAAGGAAGGAACTTATTTATAAATAAGGTTATACCAGCGATATTAAACACGAGATGGGCAGCATGAACCATTTCGAAGTTTATAGCAGCAACTATATGTTTAGATGAGTGGAGTGGACTGCTTTCTCAATCTTTGAAATAAGTGGTTTCTTAAAAGATCACCCTTCACATTCACTATCAACTGTGAAGGAACCAATCTTTGAAATTTGAAAGCAATGTGCAGAGGAACCTTAGGCTAGCCAAGCCAAGCTTTAGGTGTGAACAAAGATGATATTTTATCTTCAACACGCAATTTTAAAATTAGTGCGAAATTTGACCTCCATGTAGAAGAAGCTTTCATTTTTTGACTTTTTCAAACCTTAACTGCCGCTGCTGCTGATTGATAAGAAGGCAAGTTACATCATACTTTCTTTTCTTTTTTTTTCTTTTTTGGACGTTAACTGAATGGTTTTATTTTGTTCCTTATACATGGTTTCTATGACTTTTGAGACTCATAAGCAGAAATGCCGGCCTCCTTAATAATTTATTTTTAAAATAAATATTGACCCCGATTTTTAAGGAATACAGTCATATACAAAACCTAATATGGAGATCATTATTGTATACAAAATTAAAAAATAAAAATAATTTTTTTAGAAAAAAAACTTTAAGCCATTGATTTTACTTTTTTTTTAGGGACCATCACTTGCATCCATAGAAAGATGGATGGTACATGCCTCAAGGGGCGCAAATGTATATAAATACGTCAGCCCAATGCACAAACTACTTTTCGTTGTTCTCTTTTGAGTGTTTAGTTGGGTTAATTAAAGTTTTTACTTTGGGTGAATAAAAGTTCACTAGAATATGGCTGGCTAAAAGGTTTTTAAGAGTATTTTGATTATTTTTTTATTTAAAGTAATTTTATTTGAAGTGCCCCCATCTGCCAACCAAAATTTTTAATTTTTTTTTAAAAAACAAGCCGTGTTCAATCGAGTTATTGTGCACCCGTCTACCTTCCCAACAACTTGCAACTACAATCCAAGGGACGGAAATCGATGAGAATATTCTTACAAAAAAAACAGAAAAATGAAGTGATAATGAAGTTGCGGTTGAGTTGGACCAAGTAAAGATGAATTCAGGTTCTCCCCAGCTTAAATGGTTTGGTCATGGATCCTCTCTGGGTTCAGAATACATGGAGAAAAAAGGTAGCATACATGTCGATCTTCTCTTTGGTAATATGGTGGATGTTGTTGGGAATGGGAGATTCATCTGGCTTACCTGGATGCCAGGACAAGTGTGGGAATAGGGACATTCCCTACCCCTTTGGCATAGGTGACAAATGCTCCCTTCCTGGTTTTGCCATAAGCTGCAATTCCACCAACAACTATATTCCCACCTCAGTTGATCTCGATTCTCCAATTCTCTCCTTTTTCCCTGGACAAATTCAGCTCAACACTAGTGGAGCTGTAGCCCATTATTGTACCGAAAACGATTCTTCTACTTTTTTCTGGAATTTAACGGGAACTCCTTTCACCATTTCTAGCAGCCACAACAAGCTCGTGGCAGTAGGCTGTGAAACTTTGGCCATGTTTACGGACAACGCTATCTTTATGAGTGGGTGTGTGTCTATGTGTATGAATAATAGCAGCCAAAGAGACAGTGGGTCTTGCACTGGTCGGGGTTGTTGTGAGGTTTCGATACCGGAGAGGATGAGTTACATAGAGATGGCTGCTCAAAATGTAAACAGCACAATCATTTCGAGCATCAATGGATGTAGTTATGCAACGGTTGTGGAAGAAGGGAGTTATAAGTTCTCGGAGACTGATCTGCAAAACTTCATGAATCGAACGGATCTTATGTTTAGATTGGACTGGGTTATAGGGAATGAGAGCTGCAACGATGCTGAGAAAAATTCAAGCTCTTATATGTGCAAGGGGAATAGTGTCTGTTTTGATTCACCAAGGGGTAGTGGATATTTCTGCAATTGCTCGAAAGGCTACACGGGGAATCCTTACCTTGATGGCCCTGCTGGATGTCACGGTAAGGCAATCACATAATCATCTGGTACAGTCGGCTTGCTTATTTATTTATTTATTTATTTTTTTTACAGTAAGAGGCACTTGTTGATAAGGGTGAGGACCTAGAAATTGGCATAAAACTTTGCCAATTTTAAAAAAAGAATGGAGAAAATGTAGCCAACCCCATATTTCTCAGTTTTTCCACGTTTTTCCCCATTTTGTGAAAAACTGCAGCCCACCTTTTCTCAAGAAAACGGGGAGACACGAAACGACCTTTTGCTTATCTAACCCGCATAATCTTTCTCCCCTCTCAATCCCTCTTTGCGCAAGCTCTAGCCCAAGCTTTCCCCAGTTTTCATAGATAGGTTACCAAACACTGGTTCTCAGCTTCCAATTAGAGTTTTTTGCTTTTACGCAGTATTCAGAAAATCGACTACCCCTTGGTGAATTGGTACATGGTACTAGGATTTGCCCATAGGCCGGGTAACTCGGTCAAGTTCGAGTCTCGTCAGTCAAATCCAAAAGTAGTGCTTCCAGCTTTTTATCAAGCTTCTAGTTTTTGAGAGATTCTTTTGGAAAACAAATTTTTCAGTTACCAAACATACCCTAAACGAGAGCTAAATCTGCAAAAGAGAGATATGATGGGCAGTATTCCCATAAGAGTGTGGGTTGGTTTAGCTTTACTCCGTGTTTAAAAAAACGCCGTCCGGTTCGACTCAGGAATCGCCATGGACGGATCGAATCGGCAAAAAAAACGAGAATCGTCCGGTTCTAGAGAGAACCGGACGATTCGGCACAGTGACTCGCGATTCACCGTACGGAATCGGCGAGTCCGTACAGTGAATCGGTGAGTCACGTACGGTTTTTTTTTTTTTTTGTGTAATCCATGATAGATTTTTTTGTAATACTTGATCGATTTTTTTGTAATCCATGATTGAATTGTTTTTTTTTTTTTTTGTAATCCATGATCGAATTTTTTGTTTTTTTTTTTTTTTGTAACCCATGATAGAATTTTTTGTAATCCATGATCGAAATGTTTGTTTTTTTTTCTTGTAATCCATGATCAAATTTTTTTTTTTTTGTAACCCATGATAGAATCTTTTGTAATCCATGATCGAATGTTTTGTAATCCATGATCGAAATGTTTGTTTTTTTTGTAATCCATGATCGAAATGTTTGTTTTTTTTTTCTAATCCATGATCAAATTTTTTGTTTTTTTTTTTCTAATCCATGATTCAAATTTTTGTTTTTTGTTTTTTTTGTAACCCATGATAGAGTTTTTTGTAATCCATGATTGAATTTTTTGTAATCCATGATCGAATTGTTTTTTTCTTTTTTTGTAATCCACGATTGAACTTTTTGTTTTTTTTTTGTTTGTTTTTTTTGTAATCCATGATTGAATTTTATGTAATCCATGATCGAATTTTATGTAATCCATGATCAAATTTTTTGTAATCCATGATTGAATTTTTTGAAAATTTGTGATTTTTTTTTTTAATCCATGATCGAATTTTTTTTTGTAATCCATGATAGAATTTTTTGAAAATTTGTGATTTTTTTTTTTTAATCCATGATCGAATTTTTTTTGTAATCCATGATAGAATTTTTTGAAAATTTGTAATTTTTTTTTTAATCCATGATCGATTTTTTTGAAAATTTGTTATTATTTTTTTTTAATCCATATTATTCAAAGAGAAAATGAGAGAGATGATGATTCTGAAGCCACCCTAACCCAACCATATTATTCACATATCGAGTCCCAACAGCAACAGTGTAGGGATGAGCACGACAGTGCAGGTGAGCATGAAGGATGGACAATCTTCGGGGATTTTAGATTGGGAACATAACAAAACACTAACACTTAAAGATTTGGAAATAATCGATGATTCGTTTTTAGATCGAATCAATGAATTGTTAAACAAATTCAATCAATGGCACCAGCGTGACCAAGAAGAACAATAACGTCGTCTATCATTTTATTTTTAGATCATATGTTACTAATTTTATGCTTTATTGTAGTCCATGTATGTTGATGTACTTATTCCATAATAATTCTATGTTTATCCTTTTGTGTGATGTAAATTAAATGCTGAATGACGGTTCAAGCAGGAAAAGAACATATCAATATTCGCATATTCATTCAAAAACATGAAAATTCTTAATGGAGTACCCTCATTTCTTATTGAATTCTTAAAAAACAATATTTATAATGAATTTTAATAATTTTTTCGGATTTTTTTTAAGCTTTATTATGACCGATTCACCCGATTCTCGATCCGGATCGCCGATTCGCCCATCCGGATCGGTTTTTTGGGAGCCCTATCCGGGTCACCGATCCGTTTTTTAAACCATTGGTTTTACTTCAAGAGTGAGTCTCTCATTTACTCAAAGGTTCACCTTCGGGTAACAGTGCCTTGGTGGGAAACATGTTGCGAAATATTCCTCTCGGGTTTTGGGATGATTTAAGAATTTGAGTCGGTTTAACTTCACTCTTAGAGAGAGGTCTCTTGGCTACTCTCAAGGTTCACTGTTCACTTTCAGTAGCGATGTAGCAGTGAAAAATATGAAGTTTATCAACAATGGTATTCGGTCAGGAGAGATTACTTAGAAGGAAATGTCAACTAGAGCTTTGTTTATGTTTAGAGTAAACCAAAACAACATTCTTCATTGTAATATTAGAATAGCACGTGATGAGGCTGTGGATGTGGATGTAGCTTTTTTTGAATGAACAATATAAATATCAACTATTATAAGTTTCTAAATAAAACAACCATCCAAGATTTTAATATTTCACTCAATTATAAACTATTCGAACTCATGATTCTGTCTCCTAGATTAATGTTTTGAAATTAGATCAAAAGCAATGTGTAAGATGTTATCTCTTTGTATGTGTTTTTGGTAAAATTGTGTAGCCTTAAGAACTGCGTTTGTTTAGAGAGAAAGGAAAAATAGCCTAACAAAATGTGCCTTTTGGTGATTGACAGACATAAATGAGTGCAGTGGGCAGGTATGTGTAAAAGGGGCTCATTGCAAGAACTTAGTTCCGGGATTCAAATGCTCATGTCCCTTTGGAAGCACAGGGGACGGTACAAAGGACGGATCCGGCTGCACTAACTACTCTCGCTTAATCTGGATCATCATAGGTTATCTCTCTCTCCCCTTCAGATTGCAAAAAGATCTATTCATGTATTTATTAGCAAATACAAATGAAAAATACAATAAAGAAAAAAATATAGATTTTGAACTCAAGCTATGCTCCAAAGATATTCTCATACCAATGAAAGGTTTAATTTGCTCATGAGCAGTGTAATGAAAAATAGGTATCCTCCATGCATTGATCCCAATCTAGATAAGTCGGATTGTCAATCTAGATAGAAAAAAAAGAACAAGTAAAGAGATGGATCTTAATGTCAAAGAATACAATCAAATAATCTTATACTGCCACAGGAGTCTACTTTCTATTTACTCACTTGGGCAAAACCCAATAGGAGTAATTTCAGGAGTCTATATTTTGGGGATGTATTGTCTTCAACCCATAAACCAACCTCACTAAAACAAATTTCCGAATTGAAACCTCTATGTGGTAACAAAGAAAATGTTTCAAAAATGCATTTTTTGAACCTGAAAAGAGATTAGCTTATTAGAAAATGATATATGGAAGTTTCGCACCCCCAACATGGTGAACCCCGACCACCCCTCTAGCCAACCCAGTTTTTTATAATAAGTAGCTATTATATACTATAATAAGCAATGCTGATTCCAACGAGGAATCATCTCGATGATGATTTGGATTTTTTTTATCTGAATCAGTATAACTTTCAATCACTACTTTTGAAGGATCACCACATACATAACTACCTATAAAATTTAACCTTAGGACAGTGAGCTGGTTTTCCAGAAACATAATAAACTGTGTACTATTATGATATGACTAAAACCATTCCCAACAGCCATAAACACACAGGTCTAATCGAGTATAATTGTCTAAAGTGGGCAAATCAAACCCATTCATTCACAAGATGGTATAAATTTTATTTATCACTCTGATCATTGCCTTCGTTATTCTTCCGATCTGAAATTAGATGAATTTCAATTTTTGGGACTCAAAAAGCCTGTAATAATAGTAAAGAAAGAAAAAAGCAACCAAAAAAAAAAAGTACAGATCTAGTTGTTATTTCAATAAACAAATTACTAAATGTTTTTAAACCTTTATTTTTATGGAAAACGTTTATATAAGGGCGAGGCCTTAAACAATTAAATTAAGGCACGCCTAAAAAATCCAATAAAAAAGGTTATTTGATGTCCAAAAATGATCATCTCGACCTCAAGATGTATGCATATAAGAAAAAATGGATTTCAATTCTTACAAACAGTCCATCTTGTAATGTATTTTTGGACCGTCAATTTTCAAGAATTTTCAAGTGTTCATAGACCAGCTTGATGTACACTATTTTTGAAGCTTTAAGCGATATAATTAGATAAAAAAATAAAGTTTCAAGCTATCACAAAGATTTCCAATACCCCAAAATGTATTCCAACACTATTTAAAGATACCTTACTTAAATTGTTTGGGGCCTCAGCCCTCTACAAACCACACCCTTCTTTTGTTAGCACAAATTCTGAAAAAATTAGTTTCCTGATGGACGTGTGGGTTTTGCTCAACTGTAGGGCACAAAATTACTTATACTAGGCATTCATATCAGACTAACGTAAGTGCCCCTAATTATAAGTGTGGCCCTTGATTTGGTAGGCAGTAGATATCATTTGAAGTTGCCCCTCGATGAGGCCAGCTTGCGCAAGAAGAGCATTTTCCCTCTTAAGAAGAAGAACATTTAATCTATCAAAAAAGTTGTAGCAATCTAAATCCGTGCCCCCTGCAAAAAACGAAAAAAAAAAAGAAGAAAAAAACAAAAAAAAAAAATCTATTTGATGGTAATGTTATAAAGTTTACAAGTAATCATAGTGAAAACATTAGAGAGGTGTGCCACTTCTGATGGGGTCGTAATGTCATAAAGTTTAGAAGTAACCGTAGTGAAAACATTAGAGAGGTGTGCCAATGGAACTGGGACCAACAAAAAGTGGACTAAAAATTAAGAAGATTAACCGTAATTTCAATTAACAAGCTTAAAATAAGAAAATATGGCCAGTTAGGACAATATAATGGAAAGATAAAGTCTAATGGTCATTCATTATGAAATCAACCATCAGTCCCCTCCTCTGGAAGACAGTCAGGAAGAGTTTGCTATTAACATAATTTATAACTATTGTATCAAATAGTCTATTTAATTTATATTTGTGTATATGTGCTTGTGCTTGTGTGTGTGTTTGCGCTCACGTTCTTTGTGTGTGTATGTGTTTTGATTCGATGTTTGATTGTCCATGTCCTTACGTGTTTCTGTACACAGAAAGAACACGAGAAAAACAATGTCATCCAGTTCTTTACATTGTTTCTTCTTTTCATTGTTGCAGGGGTTGGCATAAGCATTGGAGTTGTTTTTGCAAGTTCCTTATTGCTATATTGCGTGCTGAAAAAGAGGAAAATCATGAAACTAAAAGAGGAGTACTTCCGTACAAATGGTGGACTCCTCCTAAAACAACATGTTTCTTCTCATGAGGGCACAGAGCGAAAGGGAATTTTCACTTCTGAGGAGTTGAAGAAGGCAACAGATAACTACGATGAGTCCAGAGTATTGGGCAGAGGAGGTTATGGCACAGTTTATAAAGGAATTTTGGCTGATGATACTATTGTTGCCATCAAGAAATCGAAAGTGGTCGACAAGAGCCAGATTGATCAATTCATAAATGAGGTTGTCATACTAACCCAGATCAATCACAAGAATGTTGTGAGGCTCTTTGGTTGTTGCCTAGACACCGAGGTCCCTATTTTAGTGTATGAGTACATCTCGAATGGCACACTTTACCAGCATATCCATGGAACTGATGCAACGACTCGAATTTCATGGGCCAATCGTCTAAGGATAGCCATGGAAATTGCTGATGCTTTAGCATATCTACACTCTGCTGCTACCACGCCAGTCTTCCATCGAGATATTAAGTCTGCTAATATATTGTTAGATGACAATTACACGGCAAAAGTTGCTGACTTTGGAGCCTCAAGGCTGGTGCCTATGAATGAAGGTGAGATAGCCACTGTTGTGCAGGGGACCTTAGGTTATTTGGACCCTGAATATCTTCAAACTAGCCAATTAACTGAGAAGAGCGATGTCTATAGCTTTGGGGTTGTTCTTGTGGAGCTTTTGACAGGGCAAAAACCAGTTTCATTCCAAAGATCCAAGGAGTTCTCCACTCTTGCTATGTACTTCAAGAGTTACACCGAGAACAAGGATATAAGGGAGGTCTTGGATGAGCATATACTGAGGGAGGGGAGCATAGAAGAGCTTGAGGCAATAGCTCAAGTAGCTAGGAAATGCCTAAGGATAAAAGGGGAGAAAAGGCCCACAATGAAGGAGGTGGCCCAAGAGTTGGATAACATTAGGAGGCATGGCAGGTCACACTCATGGTCTCAAAATGAGGAGGAGATGGAATGTTTGATTAAAGTGGAACCAAGCACCCTAATTTGTGAAGCAGGGCAGTCCAGTTTGCAGAACAACCTGACAATGTCACTAGAAATAGGACGGTAGAGAGAAATAGATGGCTATAAAGTTTCTTTTTCAAGTTGCCTCTATTTGAATTAAGAGTGCCCATGAACTATACGCATCGATACATACACAATTACGTAAGATGAGTGTATTCGTTATCTTCTACAGAGTAATGTATAATCATACCAAATCATAGGGAAGAGAGAAAATGTATAATATGCAAGGGCCATTATTCATATGGTGCTAAGTTTCTGAAATGTCTTCAGTCTTATATAATCTTATGTTATCGTGATGATATACCATGCCCTTTCCAATTTCCCAGAGTACTTGCCTTTTCATTTTTGTTTTTCCTTTTGTGGGGTAATTCATGCTAACCAATTCTTGCCTTGTTTCCTTATGATGTTTTACAAGTCAATTCCATTAGACTTTAGCAAGGTTTATTGCTTATAGAGTTAGAAACATTACCAAGATTTTTATGAATAATTTTTTGTTACATGTCCACGTTCACTATGAGATTTCCCACGTTATGTGATGATATGTTTTCTGCTAGTCTGTGCCATAGGCTTTAAAATAAGTGCTCTGACCATTTAACATAGCTCCACTTTTCTCACCAAGTTAGAATGCAGGGAATTCACCAAAAAAGAAAAAGAAAAATAGAGAGAAGGCAAGTCATTAATTTAGTTAGGGACCTAGATAATATGTTGCTTCTTTACCCCAAAAAGAAAAAGAAGTAAAAGCAAACTCGTTGGAACCTCACTGATCAAATTCAAAGAGTGACTTCCAACTTATTAACACTCGAAAAAGTCTTTGTGTGGTATCTTGAGCGAAGAATAGCAAATTCAATAGTGATAAGCACAGGAAAAGGGGTCCTATGTGACAACTACCAATTATTTATTCATATTGCAATGGTGTGTTCTGCCATTTTATACAGGCTCATAATGCTTTGGATGTGCCTGATGTATCTTGAGAATCCATCATCATGGGCCACTTAATTAACTCAAGGAGGGTGAGCCACACTCAATACCTGAAATGGTTGAATGCCCCTTACACATCAACCGTTAATTTTCCTCGATTATAGAGAATGGATGTGTATGATATAATTGTTTATAGACTATCAGGCTTGAATTTAGTCAGCAAGTAAATTAGACTCAATTTTGAATGCAGTTGAAACCTTCAGATTGTGTAACACCCTTTTCTTCTCACTTCGTGGTTTTTATACTTCCGGATGTATTGGATAGGTTCTTATTTTATTGGCTTTTTAGTATAGCCCACAAATTAAAGCTGGAAGTCGAAATAATTTAACATATACCTTGATATTAGAAGAATAGCTGGAAGTCGAAATAATTCAATATATACCTTGATATTAGAGGAATATGTCAATAGACCGCTGTCACACCCCAAGAATTTACAATACTGATATTCCTGAGATGTGACAGTCAAAACATATATATATTTCTTGATAGGAAAAATTTACAGTGGCGAATTCTTATAAGGTAACGAAAGAAAGTTAGCACAACAAAAATATCTTCCAAGGTTGATCCCGACTAGCACTCAAAATGAATCCGCATTTATCCTGAAAAAAATGTTTACCATAATTTGATGAGTTTGGCTACTCAGTAAGTGATCATCATAATCTTAAAAATAATCATGATTGAAAGATATCAATATTTTCAAAAAGGAGATCTATTAACAGGAATGCATTAACAATTTCACTTTAAAAAATGCATAATTAAGTATAATCCGAATAATTGAAATACATATCACATTTTAGCGTCAATGCATAATTAAAAAGATTCCACAAAATACCCTACTGGTGTCCCAAGTAGGTCACCTATATACCCCATCACCGTCCTGATAGGTCCACTTAATCCCTATCGGCGTCTCAGATAGATTCACTTAATCTCTGCAGGTCCACTTATACCTCAACGGCGTACCGGATGAGTCCACTTAATCCCTACCGACGTCCCGGATAGATCCACTTATACCTCACCGGCGAACCGGATGAGTCAACTTGCATACTTAAAGTATTTTTAAATCTCTTTAAACATTCGAAAGCAGCAATATCATGTACTCAACGTATCACTGAAATCATTAATATGAATCTCACTGAAACCATTAATAACATTCACTTTCAATAACATTTCAAAAATAACCGATCAAATATTTTGGGCTCAAATTTAGAAAGGTAGCAGTTCGTAAAGACATTCTAGCATAATTGTCAATTTAATGTGTATAGAAAAACTCTTATAGAAATTCAAGAATACGGAATTATCACAATTTATAGGATATCAATTCACAAATAAACATTTCACAACACTGCTATAATATTAAAAAACAGTAGAAAGAATTCTCACAATTTTACTAAAAGCAGAAATATCATATTTATTTTTAATAATTTTACAGTATCTAAAATTTTCTAACAATAGACAAGAAAAATAAATAAATTTATTTTTCTAAGAATTTACAGTATTTAAAATTTCTAACATAGATAAAATATCACAATTTTTATTAAAAATATTATTTTTCAAGATAATGAGGTCGTGTGCGCATAAAATTTATCGAGCCTAAAATTCATGATAATAAGTACAAATAATTATTTCATTTCATTTTTAAAAAGAACGGATTATTTTTCGAGACAATGAGGTCACTTATACACAAAACTTATAAAATAAAGATCCTGGACGAAAATATCACTATTTATTAAAAATAGACTATATTTAAAGAAGATGATATCACTTACTTTAATTCCGAAATTGGGTGAGCATCAATTTTGGATGTGGGCTTATCATATGCATCATCGTAGTTTCGTATAGGGAAGGTTTTGAGATGAAGGTTGATGAGAGTAAAAGAGAAGCCAAGGTTTTGAGATGAGGATCGATGAGAGAAAAAGAGAAGCCTCTTGACTTACATACGCAGAGAGAGAAAAAGAAAGGCCTCATGTTTTCAGAGAACGAGAGAGAAAGAGGCGTACAAAAAAGATACTCCTCAATGCAATGCAAGGTGTCCTTTAAGGAGTGTGATTATAAACTTTTAAGGTGGTGGACCTAAGGTCCACCCAAGTAAAATTGAACCCTCAAATATATTAACAATAATATTTTTTATTTATTGTTAGTATAAAAGTAACAATATCCTAACGGTATATTAGTATTAATATTAGTATTATTATTATTATTATTATCATTACTAATATATATTTATTATTTTATTTATTTATTTTTATTTTGGTATTTATTTTTGTTAATACCATTAATATTATTATATATATATATATATATATTTATTTTTGAAAGTTTAAGATTGTTACAACCGCGCAATCAAAAAAAATGTATGTCTTAAAATACTTGGAAATACTTGGATTAGATGAGTTGGAGAAGTCAACAAGAGTCTCACCTACTTCCCAATTTAAATTCCTACATACACTACTTGACCAAGTAAACAAATAGTAGATGATTTGGAAAACTACGCAAGAGTCTCACCTGCTTCCCAATTTAAATTCCTACATACACTTGACCGAGTAAACAAATACTTATCTAATTCTCAACTTAAATTCCCCATATTCACCTGGTTCACTTCCGCATTGAACCAAGCAAAACCCACTCACCACTCGCTTGACCAAGTAAACAAATACTCATCTATTTCTCAACCTTAAAATTTTCATATTCACTCCGTCCACTTCCGCATTGAACCAAGAAAAACCCACTCACCACTAGAGAGAGCATGTCGATCAAGCAAAACCCACTCACCACTCGAAAGAGCATGTCGATTCCAGCTTTCTTCTCTATGCTTCTATGTTTGATGTTCATAGCTGTGAATTCATCTGCTTTACCTGGTTGCCAAAACAAGTGCGGAAACATGGATATCCCTTACCCTTTTGGAATAGGAAAAGGATGCGCCCTTCCATGGTTTGGTGTAAATTGCAACACCAATAATTTTACGGTGACTTCAAACGATCTTGGCAATCTTCAAATCCTCACCTTCTTACCAGGTGAAATTAGGATCAATTCAAGTCGATGGATAGCTTATGATTGCAACAATAGTGCTTCAATTCCCTTAAGAATCAATCTTATAGGAACTCCTTTCACCATCTCCAATAGCCTGAATAAGTTTGTGGCCATTGGTTGTGACACTCTGGGCTTGGTTTTAGACAATAGTTCATTTGCTAGTGGTTGCATGTCTATGTGTTTGAATCGTGAGAGTGTTAAAAGTGACGGTTCTTGTAGCGGGATAGGTTGTTGTGAAGTGTCCCTTCCCAAAGGAATGGAATATGCTGCTTTGGCTACTGCTAGCATCAACAACTATACAAATGTTTCCAACTTTGATAATTGTAGCTACGCAACTATTGTGGAAGAAGAGAGCTTTAAGTTCTTTGAGCCTGATCAACGCAACTTCTTGAAACAAAAGGATCTTGTGATAAGATTCGATTGGATTATAGGGAACGAGAGTTGCACAATTGCTGAGAATTCAAGTTCTTACATGTGCACAGAGAACAGTTATTGTGTTGATGCACCTCGAGGTTATGGGTATTTATGCAATTGCTCAGAAGGGTATAGAGGGAATCCATATCTCAATGCCTCTGCTGGATGCCAAGGTAGGCCTTATACTCATTTTATGAGTCTGGGAATTGTTTCTTCAGTTTTTCAATGCAAAGAAGAAAGTAAAAGAAAAATTTGAAGAGTGGAGGAGATACATTGAAAACTGAACCCTTATCCATCAGCAATTCAACATAAAAGAGCTATCAAATTTTTCAAAAGCTCTGAATAATTTTGGGAGATATCAGACTCCAAATTATTATATGCAAAATTTGTTTTAGGTTTGACATGATTTTCTTTCTTTAATTGAGGTGTTCTTCTTTTTTTCCCCGTCTGTTTTCTTTTTTTTTTGTTGAGACCTGAGTTGGGTTGGGGAGGAGTGGACAAAGTAGGCAAAAGAAAGATGATATGAGGATGACAAATTCAGCAGGGTGTTATTGTAGATTGAGTATTTCTATAGCGCGGTACTTATAAAATCAAGCTGATTTTCACAAAACTTCACATAACTTTGACATATGCAAATTAGTTAGTGGAAAACAAAAAAAAAAACTTAATGACATACTTGGTTGTAAAAAGGAGTAGGACTATCATTAAACACCATTTTCAAATGATATTGATGACCCTGGGCTGCAGCTTAGACCTTTGGACTACGCATATTTGAACCCTAGCTGTTCGGTATAAATCTTGAATCTATCTAGTAAAAACTAAATGCAATAAAACATTGATGTTTTGGTGAGCTCCTACAATCAAACAAGGAAAACCATTAGAACATAAGGTGACACATTAATTGGTTCAGACTTTGTTTCCACTAGGAAATACAATAGGTAATTTGTCAAAACAAGAGCCTCAAGGAAATTTCATGGAACTGATCATGGATAAATCTTTTTTACTTGTGTGTTTCGTGTGCTTGGCAATACACTTGAGGGCATGTATGCATTTTTGTATGTATATCTGTATATGTATGTATGTATGTATGTACAAATATATGACTTTTGTTTTTGACGGTGGCAGACATAAATGAGTGTGCAGAATCTGACCCATGTGTACCATCAGCACATTGCAAGAACTTCGTTCCTGGATACAAATGTACATGTCCCTTTGGGAGATCAGGAGATGGTACCAAATTGGGATCTGGGTGCACAAACCATGCTCGCATTATTCTCATCATCTTAGGTCTCTCTCTCACACACACACTGTGTACTTATTCAATGAGTAATTCACTTCTTTGCCTTGACTTATTTGGTTTTCCCCATTTCAGTTGTTTGTGTAGGCACTGGACTTATTGTAGGCCTCAGTTCAATGATATACTATGGATTGAAGAAGAGGAAACTCATGAAGTTAAAAGAGGAGTATTTTTATAAAAATGGGGGCCTACTTCTAAAACAACATGTTTCTTCCATTGAGGGCACCAAGTGCACTACAATATTCACTTCTGAGGAGCTAAAGAAGGCTACCAACAACTATGAAGAGTCCAGAGTTTTAGGTCGGGGAGGCTATGGCACTGTTTATAAGGGAACTCTGGTAGATGGTAGTATTGTTGCCATAAAGAAGTCTAAAGTGGTGGATAAGACCCAAATTGATCAGTTCATAAATGAGGTGGTAATACTCACCCAAATCAACCACAAGAACGTGGTGAAGCTCTTGGGCTGCTGCTTGGAGACAGAAGTGCCCATCTTGGTTTATGAATACATATCTAATGGCACTCTTTTCCATCACATCCATGGAAATAGCAGCTCCACACTAAGGATTTCATGCGCCAATCGTCTGAGAATAGCGACAGAGACGGCCGAGGCCTTAGCATACTTGCACTCCGCAGCTTCTATACCCATCTTTCACAGAGACATCAAGTCAGCCAACATACTGTTAGATGAAAATTACACAGCAAAAGTAGCTGATTTTGGCGCCTCAAGGTTGGTGGCCATGAATGAAACTGAGATACCAACTGTTGTACAGGGAACCTTGGGGTATCTAGACCCTCAGTATCTTCAAACAAGCCAGTTAACTGAGAAGAGTGATGTGTATAGCTTTGGGGTTGTTCTTGTGGAGCTTCTAACTAGCCAAAAACCAGTTTCTTTCCAAAGATCCAAGGAGTACTCAACCCTTGCTGCCTACTTCAAAACCTCCACTGAAAACAAGGACATAAGGGAGGTGTTAGATGAAGATATAGTGAGGGAGGGGAGAATGGAGGAGGTAGAGGCAGTAGTCCAACTTGCATGGAAATGTTTGAGGGTAAAAGGGGAAAAAAGGCCAACAATGAAAGAAGTAGCCCAAGAATTGGGTGCAATTACAAGGTTTGTTCCCTCTTCACAGGCATGGTTTCAGAATGAAGAGGAGATGGAATGCTTGCTTGAAAGACCACAAGGCAACCCATCAGATGAATCCGGTCTGAGCATTCAAAATAATCTAAACATGTCACTGGAAATAGGTCGGTAGAGAGAGAGAAAGTTCATCTGGTTCCGAACTTACTCTTAAGGCCAGTTTGATAACCGGAAGCAAGTTGTAAGTTCGCAGTTTTTGGATAACTGTAAATTAAAAGTTATTTAAAAAGTTTATGGTTTATGTTCTGGATAACTGTAAATTAAAAGTTATTTAAAAAGTTTATGGCTTATGTTCTGGATAACTGTAAATTAAAAGTTATTTAAAAAGTTTATGGTTTATGTGTTTGATAACCACCATGTGAAGTTAAGAAGTGTTTGACAACTCCTGAGATATAAAGTAAATATCTTATATTATATAAATATATAAAATATATAACATAGTATAATATATAATATAGTGTATTTTATATTTATTTTATTATATAATATATAATATATAATATATATTATATAATACAATATATTATATTACATAAATTTATAATATATATAACATAATAATGTACTTTTTAGTTATTTTATTATTATATATTTACATAAAATAATATAGCATTATATTTATTCTATTAATATATATTTTTAATAATATCAAATGGAAAATATCATAAGTTTTACGGTACCTTGAACTATTAAATTACGTAATGAGAACAGTACAAAGTTAGAGATTGAGGTAGCCAGGAGGGAGATACTTCCCTTCAAAAGTAATACTATTAATACCAAATCATAAAGAAGGGAGTTCATAAAAAAGAAAGAAAGAAAGAAAGTAAAGCCTCAACTCGAAACATTGTCCTAAAAACACATTGGGCATGAGCAATCTCTATGATACCCTAAATCAATTTCTACCACTGACTATGAAAATTGTAGTTCAAAAAAATGGCACAGATCTTGCATATACATGAACACTTAAATATAGACTAGAACTCTAGATAATGTATTATAATGTATATTATTTTTAGAGCTTGAAATCTTAATTTTTCTCACAACCATAATGGTCAATATCAAGATGATCTATTTGAAAGTTTTTGATGTCATAATTACATTTTTCTGTAAGTTTTGAAGTGTTTTGATAGGGCTGCAGCACTATTAAGACATTTCCAATCATAAAAAAAGGTCCCATAACTTCGCTGATTATGAATACAGTAAGCAAGTTTCCGTTTAAAACACGTTTTTTAAAAAACAATCAATTTTTTTGAAATACATTAAGAACTCGAAATTTTTTAAAAGATGTTAAAACAATATTTTTTTTAATGGAATCGACATAAATCCAAATTTTATATTTTTTCAAAAAACTTTTCAAAAAAACTTATTCCTTGTAACTTTATTTCTTCATTGATTTAATATATTTGAATTTTGGTTTAAGATAATCACATTAAAAGTAAGACTAAATTAAGAATCTTGATTTAACAAAAATAACCATAAAAAATTGCACCCATATGTTCCTAGAAAAAAACTGCAATGATTATCCGAAAACAATCCATCAAAACAACCATATATCTTAAAATAATAATTAGAGTTGTAGGAATAGTAAAAAAAGTGAAAAATCTTTTTTTATCTGAACACATAGGGTCCTTATAAAGAGTAAGAGAGAGATTCAGTGAACTTAAAGATTTAGGCATCTAGGAATTTAAAGTGAGCTTTGAATATTTAGATTTGATTAAGCATTTTGTTTCTCGCTTTCTACATATGAAAGTTTGATTAATTTCACCGTTTTAACATTTTTCCATTTCATTAGTGTATACAATATAGCAATTTGGAGTGACCACTATTTTATATTTTTGGGTTTTTGTATTTTAGTCAATTGAAAGAAATCATGTATTGAGAATTTTTTTTTCTTTTTTTTGAACAATAATCCCAAAATCGTTCTTGTGCTTAGTATTATTGTTATTATTTTATTATATGCTTTCAATAAATCTATCATATGTTTTGTTCATGACAATAGAGTAGTTATTGTTATTGTATTTATTGGAAGTTTAGAAAAAAATTTGTCAAATATGACTCGTATGATATAAGATAAGGACGAAAAATTATAGTTCAATAGTTTTGATACAATCACACAACTCATAATATCATATTCTGTTATCTTCTGATTTTTTTTTACTCCATCGTTCGAGTCACATCCAAAATATTAACGATTATCTAACTTACCTAATTTGAGCGGCGATCGTTATTTTTTATCCGATTTTTTGGAACAAAACCCGTTTATTTCCAATATTTTGGTTTGGCGAAATATCATTCTTCCTCGATTTGCTAACTATAGTACGAATGAGAAACTATAAATGGATTTTCGGATAACGACCAACGAGAAGGAAAATTGGAAAGTACAGGGTCCAAAAGATCATAATACGAGGCGCAAAACTTGATCTCCAAGTAACGTCTCTTTGTCTCGGATTTAGAAAAGTACATAAAAATAATTGAGCGGCTTTCAATTTTTAATTTCAAGGTTATTTGTACAGGGTAAACGCTTGCAATCAAACCCTAAAAACTGCGATTTGAAAACTTTCACGGTAGTTATCTGTAACACATCTCTCTCTTATTCTTTATTCAGTTCATATTTTGCTGAATAACCTACCACAAATTTCTTTAGTTTAATGTGTAAAACTGTTTCATGAGTGGATCTGTGAATGTATAACCTATCACAATTTTTATATTGTTTTATTTCTTGGAAAATGTCTTCTTAAGGTTTTTCTTCTCCTCTTATCAGAAGGAAGAAAGGAGGTTTTTTCTTCTCCTCTTATCAGAAGGAAGAAAGGAGGGATGTCTGGAACGGAGGATACAACAAGCAAGTTTTTAAGGATAAGAAGGACAGTAATGCAGATACTTAGGGACCGCGGTTATTTAGTGGGTGACTTTGAAATCAATATGACAAAAGCCCAATTTGTTGAAAAGTTTGGTGATGAAATCAAGAAGGAGGATCTTGTAATCAACAAGGTGATGCGCAACAATCCTTCTGATCAGGTCTCTCTCATACACCCATCTCACTTTAACCTTTCTAGATACCTTAAATGTTCATTGAGTTTGAATTTAGTATTTTTTTTGGTTTTGGTCCATTCTTATCTGGATTCAGTTGTAAACCCCTAAAGGTAAAGAGAGCCAGGTAGGAGAAACACTGTATAGATGGGAAAGGCAAAAGAATGCCGTGGTCGAGAGGAATATTTGATAGGGTTGTGAAAAAGCAAGTGGTGGGAAGACTAGGGAGTAAGTATTAAAATCTGTCTTTTTTCTTGTTTTTTTTGGTTTTTCTTACATTAAATTTTTGTCCTTTTTTTTTTCTTTTTCTTTTGTATTTTTGTTTTCCTCAGTCTCAGTGGTGAGAAGACTCTAGGGAAGACCAGTTGAAATGGGAGAAACGAAAACCATTTTGCGAAGTAGAACTAGGGGGTCGTCCCTATAGAACCACCAGTCCCATCCTTAGCCAAGCTATCAACTACTGTATTGGCTTCTCTAAGTATGTTCCTTAGCCAAGCTATCAGCTATGCTTCTCTGAGGATGTGTTTGAAGAAGACTGTGGTGTTCTTGCATAAGAAAAATACATGATAGAAGATATAAGCAAGCCTCCAAGGGCGTTTGTCTAATTTCATCATGCTTACGATGATATTCCTAGAATATGCTTCCAGAGAGTAATTTATTATTAAGGAGATAATATAGGAAGACTATTAAATGTCATTTATTATTTTAATGATCTCCTCTCTTGTTTTGAATAGTGGTTAGACTGTTAACTTGTTAGCTAGCGTACTATGCCTTTGTCCATAGTTTGAAGCTGGAAGTTTGATGAAGTTTAAGGTTGATTGTAATAGCTATTCTATGTGGAGTTCTTGGGTCTTTTATGTTCTAGTTTATTAGCTAGAGTCTTATGATTGTTGATGCGAAGGCTATTATTACCAGTGTTATTTGAACCGGATTGGACAGGAAATGGTGGACCAATGGTCATTTTGTTTCAGTTTGATCCCCTGGACCAGGATGTCCATTGAACTGGTCAAGAATCGGTGGACCGATTGGTCTAGTCCATGGTTTGGTATGAAACTGGATGGTCCTGATAAGGTTAAAAAATGACCATTTCCTCCCCTTTTTCGCTTTTGGGATCATTTTTCTCACCTTTGGATGGTTTTCGATCTTATATTATTTTAAGTAGGGGCTTGTGGTCTTTCGAGAAAATGGGTGGGTTTTAGAAAATGGGTGGGTTTTAGAAACAACTTGAGGGAGGGTGGGAGGGAGGGAGGGAGGGAGGGAGGGAGGGAGGGAGAGAGAGAGAGAGAGAGAGAGAGAGAGAGAGAGCGTACGTTGTTCGTCGTAGTAGTTAGGTTTACGTTCGTACGTAACGTAAAGTAAGTAAGTAAGTAAGAAACGTAAAACGTAACGTTACGTACG